GTCGGTCAGAGCCCTGGAGTTACCATGGCCAGCCATAAACGCTAGAATGACATAAAACCTGCTATCAAATGAGTGTCAAATGCATTTGATTCATTCGACAGTACTAATGACATTTGCAGAATGATTCGAACTCACATATACCCCTGACTGTATTATCCCATTTATCCACACACACACGCATACAAACACAGGCATTACTTACGCGTATTCTATTTCCTTGAACTATATGATTTTGTAACCTATAAAAGAGTGCTGTATTTGGCTAGTAAATGAGGCACCGAAAACGACCTTGTTTGCCAAATTGACTTCTCGATGCAATCCACGGGTATTTTCCAGCAACTTGTTTATGCCCGCTGATCAGCCGCTTCAGTCGTTGGGTAGTCCAAAGTCCAAATGCTGGCACAATATTGGGTTTTTCATGCTCCAAACCGCATTCTAGTAGTGTTGTGAGGTACTACTCACATGTGTGAGTAGAATGGAAAACAGTTCGTCATTCCCTTCGACGATCAAAAATCAAGACCACCCAGGGCAAATTGCTGTATCTCACAGAATAACTATCGACTGCTACAGTCATTATCCGTTGTTCGGCCGGGAACTGCGATGGTATGTTACTGATGAGATTTCTACGTTACGTATGCCAAATTAGTGATGTCCCATCTGTAATCTTCAATAAACAACTATCCTCGACCGAGCGCCGCCTTGTGGATACATAATAGTAGTAGAGGCAGAAAATAAAATGGACAAACTCCGGTTTCAGTTTCAGTTCGTACAACCATTAACCATGCACTTTCGTGTGTCAGTTTCGGTTGCTGTCTTTTGGCTGCCCATCTGAATGAAGCAGTGGGAGAAAGACAGAAAAGTTGAAAGTAGAGTCCAAGAGAAAATGGAGAATTTCAGTGGACCGGATACCCTAGGGTTAAGCAGAGCTGAATGCTACCAGGCGCACTCCCGGGTCGTGGATAGGGAGATACCTTCACCGAAGGTTAGCTGTGAATAAGTGGTATAAGCAGTAGCGAACAAACAGCGGCAGCACTACCAGGGTGTGGTGGGTTTCAGGCTGGTCACCTAGCTCCCGTTTAAAAGCCGCATAAGCCCGTGACGGTATCGTGACAAAGGTCGATGTGACTGGCCTTTTAAAACTAAAGTCATTGACCCCCTCACTTCTGAGGCTTACTTCCTGCTGCCTTGCAGTTCGCCCTTGGTTGTGCAAAAGCTAGAGGTATACCCTCAAAATAAAAAACGCCGAGTGACACTGGGGATGTCTCTCGTACCAAACTCCAAAGGAACTCCATGATCACGTCTGGAGCCGGCTTATCCTTTCCAAGGAGCCAGCCGCACTAAAGTAAGTAAGACTAAGGATGCAAGGAAATTGAGGGGATGCACGAACGCCACTGTTTACGATACTCAGCTATATTACTGTCTCTAACCACCGATTACTACCACCCTGAGGTGTCCAGCCAGGGAGCCTATCGGGACCTATGTGGCCCACTCCCCTGGTTAGTGTTTTCATACCCTCCTGTACCTTATAATCCCGTACGACGGGTATCTATACTGTTCTTTGCCTTGGAAACACACTTGTGACCTTCATCTCCAACAGTACCAATTAACGAACAGCCGTCCATCTTAATCACGCCTACAGGTGGATTGTGTAATCGGGACTCAGTCGGTTTAGGGAATTATATACGCCAAACATCACAGGGGTTGGAAAGATCGGATATTAAGAAAGTAGTCCAAAAACTGCAGCGCAAAGAAAATTTAGCAAATAATGAACATCATTGAGCGCAAATGTTTGTTAGCTTATCGTACACGCTTACCTAATCGAATAATCATTAGAAATGTTCCATTCGTAAGGAATCCAGCCGGAACATGTACACTGAGGACATAAATTATTGACGAAGTCATACGGTGATGCAGTAGAAAAAGCGAGACCGCGGAAGGAGCGTTGGAATGCTTAGAAAAATCGATACAGTCAAACCTAGGCGATGCCACCATCACAATGTTCTGACTACAAGGTGACATTGAGTGAGGTGGCGCTTTCGGTGCGGCTTAATGTTTGTTCACCTTGTCATGTGAGATAGGTGTTATTTTGATTTCGGTACTGTTGTTTTATAACCCGTACAATTTTCTTGGTGTGGTAAATTCAACCGTGTGAGCTCGCGACATCGACAGCCTCGACACTTACTATACGATTGGAATTGCTATAGTGGTCATTGAACCCATGCGACCGTCAGGTGGACGCTTTGAAGTTAGTTGAGGGCAATTCATAGGATTTACTTGGAGAATCAGACAGGAGACGAGAATGGTTGCCTGTTAAACGAGCATCATCAGCGGGTGTCTAACAGTACATTTACGCAACAGGTTTGCGACCGTTTTTAGTGTTATTCTCATCCGAACCCTGAGGATCTTGTGTCTCTCGCAGACAATGATGTAAACCTGTTTCGCACTGTCTGAAAGAAGACTCTGGCTCTCACTACTCCTGAATTCGTTCAGTAGACCAACTTTTAGTGCACGAGTTGCTTACGACAGAACATGTTACAAAGCGTGGGGCATAAGCTGCAGCACGCATTATTGGGACAAAGATAAGGCCAACGTTCGCATACCTGTGCATGTGGAGCATAGGCAAAGTCTATAGTGCAAATGAGGAAACAGAGATAGCAAAAGGGTGAGCCACAGACCACAAGGATGGACTGCGTCGTTCATCTTTCAAGGGATGATTAATGCGTATCTGTGTCACAGCGTTACGGTGACTGATTTATTCCTTGCGGGTTGAGCTAGTTCACGGGTATACATAATCTGAGTCCGTCACTGATCAATAATACCTTTTAGCCGCAGTTCCCGGTACACGGTAGTGTACTCACTCCGTAACTAAGCCTTCAATTAAAACTTGATTTGCTCCATGAGCTTTGTGTGNTGTGTGAGCTGTGTGTTATTGACTCGGTTGCTTTCCAGTTAGAAATAGTTTGTTAATTCTGTCTTACACTGTGGAATGGAATCGTGACATTAAAAAAAGCTTCTCGTTGCTTTGTGAGATCAGGTGTACATCGACGATCTTTGTGCTGTACAACATTAGTGATGTTGGCTATTCGATGGCTACTAGGATAACAAATCGGTGCAGTGAAAAACAGCCGTTTCACTGAGGTGTGACATTGATAAAGTTCGCCTCCAACTTTACTTATACCAAGGACATAAAAAATGTCTAAGAAAATAGTTTACGAAGCCCTGCAATGTGTCAAACTTGAAAAGTATAAGCCTCCTAGTTCAGGCGGAATTCCGCCAATTTTACTGAAGAACTGCGCATCAGAACTCTTCAGTACTGCGTAAAAGTTGTAAAACTTATTCCAGTACCCTATCCTGACTCACTGTGCCGATTCCTGTCGTTTCCTTTTATTCATAGAAACAGCTGCTGTGAAGCAAACACCCCAGTATCTGAAAAGTGACTAGGCTGCAGACGACCACCAGAAAGAGTTCAAACGCTNCACACACACACACACACGCCTGCGTAACGAACAATCAGAGGAGGCTGCTATTTAGTTGCATGATATCTCAAACGCCTTCGTTCGAGTGTATAACAAAGGTTTACCAGTTAACTTGTATATCGATGGATTCTGTCTGGAGAACTAATCGATCAGAACTAAGCTAAATACGGATGATAGGAATAGGGAAACAGTTAACAATGGATTCCTCGCTTACAAAACTAACTCTTTCCTGACCCATTTTAAATACATCATGGAAGCTATGTAGTTAAGCAAATTAATAACTTTGAAATTAAACGTGATGGTCAAACAAGAGCGTTCAACGGTGAATACATCTTTGTTGCCTACAGCGTTTGTGTTCTTCTCGGGACTCGGTCTGCAGGCGTTCAGTATTGCGTTTTGGCAGGTGTACTGAAAGATAAAGGTTTATCCATCAACGTTGAGTTTATCACCCAGAAAGCCGTTCTTCTTGAATGTCCTAACAGGATTGATTGACCTGCAGGAAAAGAGGGGTCTACGAAGTACCTTTAGCGCATGACAAGGGGTATTCTATTGGTGTGCAGGTATGCAATCTGATGGTCCAGGTGATCACATTTGAGGAGATTCGATGATAAAGTCAGCTGGGACCGAGACGATGTGTTTGATCACAGAGAGTAACCTCTGTTCATGAATACACCTTAGGAGATCAGTGCATTACTATCATTATTACTATACTGAGGGTGAAGAATAAGAGAATACACTAAACTTGCAGTCAAGAATACTCATTGTTCAGTTTTAGCAAACGGAATTTAGAGTGCAGAAGTATATACTTCTATAGGATAGATGGGCTACGCGATGGATATGACACCGACAATATAATTTAGGTGGTCGTGGCAGGGTTCGAATCATCACGTTTGATGAAAGTCAATGACAACGATTTAAACTGACCGGTTACTGTTATGTTTATGATAAAGCTTTGGATATATTAAATATTACTACCAACTAATGGCCAAGTTACGTAAATCTACGTCAAAATGATTGATTTGTCGTTTGAAAAGAGACAGAGGGGTCTTTGATGTTACAATGAACCAAAAATAAACTGATTCCTGAAACGTACCAAAGGCTCAAATAGCGATCCAACAAAGCTGATGTTAACGTGGTCCTGTCAAACCACAAAGAGGACGACTGATTTTTCGAGCATCTGAGTGTAATAAAATTCTCCATATAGGCCTGGGCTCGAAAATGTTGATATTTTGCACGACGAAGAAAAGCCACATAGAATCGATCGTCTAAGAAAAAGATGAGGCAGAACAAAGGCTTCAATACAGTTTGAGTTAATATTTAACACGGGGAAATTACGTTTTATTATCCTTAAGATAGAAACGAATACCACGATTAGAAAGCTTCATATCGAATTGCACAATAGGCCTACTACTAAAACCCACGTTATTTGTTGTGGGATTTACAATCGCATACTGAGGTGCTGCACAACTCAGCACGGGTGGTAGTGGCGCAGTGGTTTGACCGCTGTCACCGGTGTGATTTGGACCCTATGGCACGAGGTTCTAGCCCCGCCACCGCCACTCAACTTTGGTGGTAGGCAGGTTTGTTATCGCCTGGTTCAATACCACCCCAAACATAGCACGGCCTTAGTTAGTTCGCCACCCAAATCCCGGGGATCGGGTTACCGGTCTCCATCACTGAACAGCAAGTCTGCGTGACTATGGGGTCCACCCGTCTGCTGTTCAGCACACTCAAGTGTTATATGAAAGATACACACTAGCGATTGGTAACGAACGATTGTATGGATCGTGATCTGACGAGCTTAGACTGATACGATCAGTATTAAGTGCTATTATCTATCAAATGTGGATTCATTACTCACAGTCGAATAACTTGCTACTAATGGACCTTATAATTATTGCACAACTATTTCTTCTTTGTTAGGAATCACTGGCAGCGCTTGTTCACCGAAACCAGTGGGGTTTGAACCAGGGGAACAATACGTTCTTATGTGGACGTATTAACCAAACACAAACAAACGCAAGTTATATACATATATGTACAGCCAAAAAATCACTTAAAATGGAAAATCGCAGCGTAATGTCTATCTCTCCGAGAGCTGCATTACTCATCTTTTTAATACACACCTAGGTGTGATGAACAGCAGACGGGGCGAACCCCATAGTCACGAGGACCTGCTGTTCAGTGGTGGAAACCGGCAACCTAAGCCCCGGGACTTGAAGTGGCAAACCACACATGCTTGGTATTGAACCGGACGACAGAAGAGCTGCCTACCAACAAAGTCGGGTGGCGGTGGTGGGGCTCGAACCTCGGACCATAGGGTCCAAAGGAAGCCGGTAACAGCGACTAAACCACTGCGCCGCCACCACCCTTATTAACGAAAAATAAAAAACGAGACTCGATCTCTGAAAAACAAACAGCTGAGAATGATGGCTCCAGAATTTTACTGAGCGTCAGACATTCAAAGCTGTCGACTCGAGGGAAACACAAAGAAACAGTGCCTTAATTTATATTCAATGCAGCATATTTTAGTGGTAAATGATGTCCCAGACTTACTGATGGATAGAATTATAAATTCTTGATAGTAAACAAAAGTAGGACTATTTAAAATAAACTGGGGGTTAATGATAAATAGAAAGTACATTAGAACGGGATAATGCTCCCACTCTTGAGTTGCCAAGAAACAAAACAATCCGACGATATTTTTCAGAGTAAACCTTACCTTGAGGACACTTCAAGTGTGGCAGTCCTGCGATGTATCGTTTCAAACTGTGAATGTGAGCCACAACATGTTTCGGTTCTTCATGTAGCTCTTTACGAGCTTTATCGACGTAAAGTTTCGAAAGAACTATTTGGGTACTGGAGGTCATACCAGAATAGAATCGGGAAGGTGATGACTTGGAACCGGTACAAACCAACAAAAGAAGTCAGTAATGTTGGAGAACTGATGTGATCCGACGAAGAGGACCAGATCTAAAAATAAGCCAGAAAGATATGGATATGGAGTGGGCCAGAAACACTTGAGACACCGAACTTTTCCAATCCGCCATTTGGCTTACGCGAGAGCCCAGAAAGGCTTTTCATTTGATATTTTGTCCGCTAAAGACCGGGGTTGATAAACGTCCATTAACAGGGTACAAAGACTTATGGAAAATCGACGGTGTCAATGGACAGTATACCAGACCCAAACCCATTAAACCATCAAAATGCAGTTTCGATGAACCGGTTGGTGTTGCCAGCTAGCTCATTCCAAAAGACGGACAGAAATCAGGCCACTGCAACTTCGTGTACAATGCCTATGGCGGAGACGATTTGTTGTCGATCGATCTGCGGGCTCATCTGTCAATGATCAAGACGGCGATGGTGCACTGAAAGGCACAACCACGCCAAGGTAACTAACTACCTTGGTGTTCTAAAAGGGCAAAAGCACTTTGACGTGTCAACGATAGTTCGCCATTAAATATAGAATTTGCTTGTTGTGCTATCTATCTGATAATGTTCTCCAAAAGTGAATAAACCACACGGTTGGTCACCAGCTCCTCTGAAAAAGCTACTAGCTTGATACTCCATCTTAGCTGCGTTATGGCTAGAGAAGCATTATCGCAGAACAGCCATTTCTCTAAACTGTGTAATCGAGAAATGAAATACACTACAATACTATATATATATATATATATATATATATATAAGGAAGATTGTTATGCGATTTGGTGGGCGACCTAGAAAGAAGGGCATGTATATGGACATTGACAAACTATCTCAAACGTTGTCGCTCACTATTCCTGAATGAAACACGCTTGTCTTTTACAATGCTACTCTTTCTACTATATTCAGAAAGCTCTTTTTATCATCCTTGAAAGCTATTGGGATATACTTTTGAACCGTTGGACATTTTCAAGTTTAGAACCTCTGCTTTTTTCATCAATATATTTTTGCGCAACCAGAAGCATGCAAATACGCTGACCTCAGTAAGTTTGTATAACTCAACAGGTTCTCTTTTCAAAAAAGCCGAACCGCAAGGACTTCGCGGTCAATAAACACTAATTGAAAGTCCATTTTAACTTTTATTATCCCAAAGCACCTAATATCTTCGGACAAATTTTACCTAAGATAAGTCCAAAATCCATTTCTGTACGATCACTTCCGGCAAGATGCTTCTTCTGTACTGTTTAGCCTCTCTTAGGCTCAACCATACCCACTGAGTGTTGGCCTGTTTGGTACTAAAGTTTCTCACCAGTTATTTTATACACTACTCTTCTTACAATACTTAGTACATCTTTGTTCGATGATTCCCGGTTATCTCTATTTTCGCCGTCGACTACGGATAGGTGGCTTATTAGTTCGTTGATATTTCTAGACTGCTCATCTCCTTCCCCTCGTATTACACCAGATCACACTTCCCGTCAGCGATTATGCTTTGCCGTTGGTCACGAAGCATTGTTATACGAAGTATTGAATACCAAACGGGCTAACTGAAAATACGCGATTCCCGATACACGGTTAACACGGATCACAACTCGTCTCTACAACAACGCCCCTCTTAGATTCACTTATCTCTACTTGCCCATCCTTTCTTGGTCCCTCATCCGCGAGCTATACCCTACCTCCCCCAAGGATATTCTCATCTTACTCAGCTATTATCATCATAAATTTTTACTTGTTTCACAGAAGTCTACTGAGTTGATAGCCTCTCTTCACACATTCATCCAAAAAATCACTGACAATAGTTCACACCGGAACCCATTGCCCGTATTCCATAACTGATCTGTATTCCTGATTCTGCATTACATCGTTTACCGTTTTATGCTACGGATCATGCCATCCATCATAGATATAGTCAACCTGACGTATTTCATGTCCATCACGATGAGACTACACGTTGACGTGGTGTGATGGCTTGTGCACCTCTCTGATCCAACAAACTACAAAGGATGGCTTTTGTCAAGCCAGGAAATCTCATGTGTGGAAGGTCAATGGGTAGAGATCAGAACAAGTCCAGTCTCCTGGTTCTCCAGGTTGGGAGTTCAATTAGAATTGGCGTTTCCATCGGTGAAAAATGGTGGAGGAGTAATCGATCCAAGTAAATGGCCCTCCACTCCGCCTCACCCGTTGCCTTGCGGTTTGGTTCAGAACTAGAGGCTTTGGACGAGAACCCTAATCGTTCCCTTGCTTACCTTACTTTATTACGGCTGCCTCCTTGGAGAGGATAAGCCGGCTCCAGACATGATCGTGATTATGATCATGAAGTTCCTTGGGAGTTCGATAGGAGAGATGTCCCCAGTGTCACTCCTGCTTAGTGGCTGGACACTCTAGCAGTACCTGTTGATCAAACTCAAATGCATACATAAACTAAGAATAATTCCATAATGCATCGGCCCTCGCGCAAGATAATCAGCACCGTTCTGCCCACTGCATCGAGGAGGGTGAGTAGTGATAATTTATAATTTGTTATTTAATTATTTGTCTTCCGTACCCAGCCCCTTCTTCAGACCGAGAAAAATACCTCAAGTAACTTGAGAGATCTAGAGCATGCAGACGACACCGTGCTACTAAGTGAAGATCCAGGTAAGTTGCAAGCTTTTCTGGATAGTTTGAGTGATAGTATGTCCATGTTCGGTATGCGTTTTGCACGCTCGAAGTGTAAAATGCTACTACAAGACTGAGTCGGTCCAGCACTCAATCTCACTCTAACTGTCTACTTACCCAAGTAGACAAATTTTGCTATCTGTGTAGCTATATCTCTCCCGGCAGACGCATCACAGATGAAGTGTCGGCACGCATACAAAAGGCTCGGTTGGCATTTGCCAACTTGAGATATTTGTGGCGCTGTCGCGACATTCGGCTGTCTGCGAAGGGTCGCGTGTATGCTGCAGCAGTTCGGCCAGTCCTGTTCTACGGTGAAGAGACTTGGCCTTTACGGGAACTGGATAGAAATAGATTATCGGTGTTCGAACACCGCTGTCTACGTAGCATTGCACGAGTCTGCTGGGGAAACCGGATGAGCAATGCTGAGGTTATGCGTAGAGTTTTAGGCAGTCGCGGTCGTCCACTGGAACAAGTGATCGACCTCTATAGATTACGCTGGTTGGGACATGTGTTACGTATGTCGCCAGATAGGTTGCCGCGGCGAACGATATTTTCCAAGGCTGGTAGCGATTGGAAAAAGATAAAGGGTGGTCAAACTAAGACCTGGCATGAGGGTATGAAAGCCCTAGCCAGGAGACTAGGTCACATAGGCCCCGTTAGGCTCCCTGATTGTAGACCTCGGGATGATGGTCACCGATGGTTAGCTACACTGAGTGATATGGTTGGGTGTCACAAACAGTAGCGCTCGTGCATCCACTCATTATTCACTATTCTATGTGAATTCTCCATCTTTCGCTTGAATTTGCTTTCAACATTCCAATTTTCATTTCGATCTTCTATCCAAATGGGGCACCAAAAGACAGTAACCAAAGACGGCGCACGAAAGTGCATGGTTAATGGTTGTAAAAACTGAAACTCAAGCAACCTGGATGTCGTTCACCAAAGGTCGTTGTCAAATAGCACTGTAAGGATTGTACCAGGAAGTGCATTGTGGATTCTAAAGCCTCGTCAATCACTGAATGTAGGAGCCTTCAACGTGAGAACCCTGATGCAGGTAGGTGAGCAAGCGCGTCTGGCGCGTAAAATGGAATTCTTAGGGATCGATATTTGCTGCGCGTCGGAGACTGGAATCCAGGATTCTACTACTGTAAGCCACGTGAACGCGCCAGATTTTTCTTCGAGATCTGTTCCTCGCACATCAAGCTACGACGAAGCCCATTCAGTAGGTCAGCGCGGGGTACGTATTGTACTCAATAACAGGGATGAGTCCTCTCTTATCGATTGGATCCCCGTCAATAGTCGTTTATGCGCAGTGCGCCTCCAGGGTTGAATCAGTGTCCGGAAGGAAAACAACTCCAAAGGGTTTGTTCATCGTATCAACATACGCACCGATCAATTGCAGTTCCGATAATCAAAAGGACGCTTTCTACAATGAACTCNGATCTCAATCGGATGAGTCGAAGCTCCGACATAGTTTTACTTGCAGGTGACTTCAACTGCATCAGACGCTTGCCCAGGCGGTATCTGTGCTCTGCCCTACCAACGAACAGATAACGGCAATCAACTTCAGTCCTGCGCGGACCACCATCTGTTCCTATCCAGCACCAACTTTCGACACAGCTCTCGACGGATGGCAATGTGGCGCTCCGGTTTAAATGATACATCGTTGCAGTTCCTGGTGTTCGACTTTACGGTTGCGAGACCCGGTCCATCCGCGTTGAGGATGCTAATGAACTTTCCGTATTTGACCACCGATGTCTCCGAAGCATTCATTGCTCGTGTCTCGTGGAAACACCGGGTGGGTAATCACGAGGTTCCTCGTGTGCGAACAGTCGTTCTCCAACAGTAATCGCTCTACACCGCTTCCAGTGGCTTGTTTACGCATTGTGTGTACCTTCTCACCGACTCTTTTTACGTGCTCTCTTTGCACGCGCCGGGCAAGGCTGGAAGAAGTGCCGTGGTGGTCAGACCATGACATGGCATGGAGGTATGAACAGGCTGGTTTCAGCTTTGGATTGGGTCGGTCGGAGCTGCCCGCCTTTTAGGTTTGGGCCCAAGGAATGAGGGTTGTCTTTGGTTAGAAACGCTGAGAGATATGGTCCAGAACAGAAGTCAGTGGCGTGAATGCTGTACGGTCTGTCTGCCGTAATCCCTGCTAGCAAAAGGACTACTATTTGACTACTAAAGTGCTACTATACGACTAGTGATATGCTACCCGATTGCTATAACTTGACAGATTTTGTAGTCTTTTTTCGATCCAAATCGCTACGATTCGACTACTAAA